CAGGTGTAGTTTCTATGGTCCAGGTGTAGTTTCTATGGTCCAGGTGTGGTTTCTATGGTCCAGGTGTGGTTTCTATGGTCCAGGTGTGGTGTGGACAGCAGCAGAGTGAGGAGGTGTGGTCAGTTTGTCCTCCAGCAGTCTAAGCCTATCGCTCAGGAAACCCAAGCAGACCCTAACTATAGGATTTATCAAAAAGGAAAGACTTCAAACTGGACAATGTGTCAGCGTCACAGACAGAATCTGGAAGTTGGTTCCACAAGAGAGGAGCCTGAGAACTGAAAGATCTGCCTCCCATTCTGCTCTTGGAAACTCTAGGAACCACAAGTAAACCTGCGGTCTGAGAGAGAAGTGCTCTGTTAGGAAAATATTGAACAATAGGATCTGTAATATAAGAAGAAGCTAGGTTGTTAGTTCAGATTATAGCAGCATAACTTCAAATTATGACAGATTATCTGCATCAAGAAAATCAACATCAGATTGTTAGTTTGAAGTTACTGAGATTATTTTTGTACTGATCAGAAACTTCCTTTTTGTAACTTTTGCAGCTGCACAGGAATGGCAAAGCAGACGTGCTGATCAAAGACCTGTACACGGAGAACACTCAGCTGCTGAAAGCTCTGGAGATTACGGAGCAACGGCAGAAGATGGCAGAGAAGAAGAACTACCTGCTGGAAGAGAAGATCTCCAGCCTGAACAAGATCGTTCGAGATCTGAACCCGTCAACTCTTCCAGGGTCGTCTTACAACTATCAGTACCAGTGATGGAGCTCCTGAAGTACTGGGGAGTACATAAACATGTGGTGCACCAAATACATTTTAACTGCAGGGGTTCCTGGGGTCCCACCTCATGCACAAGAACTTTAACCTTCTGTTGTATTTAAATGTTACCGGTAAATATGCAGTATTTTATTACATTTTGTTTCACAGTAATTTATCATTTTAAAAATATTTTTGTGCAGGAATTTATTTTTAAACGATGAAACGTTTTACTTTATCACTGATAATGTCCAAAGTATAAAGCAGAACTGATCTGTGGTGTTCAGGATGTTTTTGTTGTCCTGTCTCCATTTAGCCGTCGTAAAGAAGGATTAAAAACGTGCCAGAAATTAAATTATGGAAAGAAAAGTCATCCGGGTGATCTGGGAAATGTTTTGCTTTTATGGAGCACTACCTAAAACTGTTTAAACATGATGATTGTATGTCAAGTGGCAATATTTTACAGGATATGATTTATTTAAATGTGAAGATGTTCTGCGAAGCTGCAGATTGTTCCATCATGAATGTTTGGAGAAGAAATGAAGGACTTGATCCAAAGTGAGCACTAAACTGAAACCAGGGTAACGTTTGTGTTACAGGCGGGAATAAAATGGATGAACTGTGTTTGGTGTTTCGGTCTGTTGTTGGAAATCAGTTTGTTTTTACCAGAAAGAATCGGCACTGAAGCGCCTGATAACAGCTGATGGACGACCGGTCAGGTGATGATGTCATCAGATTGAATTGGCACTGAAGCGCCTGATAACAGCTGATGGACAAACGGTCAGGTGAT